GGCCGAAAACGTCCAGAAACTGGCCGACACGTTTTTCACGTCGCCTGGATCTGAGTGGTAGAATTTGTGAACGTCGGGATACTTTTGGGGGGCCTGCGTAGACCTCTTGAGCCTCTGGCGGCCTCCAGGAGCCTCCAGGGGCATCCGGGAATCTTTTCGGTCGCCCTGCGGCGATGGGGGGGACGATGCCGGGGTCCAGGCCGAAGGGAGGATGGAGCAGGAGAAGGAGGAAGATCTTCCTGCGTTCTACGGACTGCAGGTCGCGAAGAGGGAGAAGACGACGAGCAGGAAGAGGAGGGAAAGGAGGAGGAGGGCAAGGAAGTGGAAGGATAGGGGGGAGGGGAAGAAGGGGCAGAAGAAGAGTCTCAGGAATGTCTGGGTAGATGTCACGGACTCAAGGGGGGATCTGGAGAGATCTAGGGGAGAGGGGGATGGGGAGGGAGAGGGGGAGGGGGATCGAGGGAGGGAAGAAGGGGCAGGGTAGCCATGCGAGACCATCCCCCCTCCCGCCCCCTCCTCCCCCTCCCGCCCCCTCCTCCACCTCCTCCTCCTCCTCCTCCTCCTCTTCCTCTTCCTCTTCCTCATCCTCTTCGTCCTTCTCCTGCTCCTCCTCCTCATCGTCATCATCAGCATCATCATCATCATCATCATCATCATCATCATCATCATCATCATCATCATCATCATCATCATCATCATCGTCGTCGTCATCGTCGTCATCATCATCATCATCGTCGTCGTCATCATCATCATCAACAACATCATCATCCCCATCATCATCGTCATCATCATCGTCATCATCATCATCATCATCATCAGCATCATCAGCAGCAGAAGCAGTATCACCATCGTCATCAGCAGCATCATCATCAGCATCAGCATCAGCATCAGCATCAGCATCATCATCAGCATTATCAGCCGCATCATCCTCATCAGCCTCATCATCCTCATCCTCATCCTCATCCTCATCCTAATCATCATCCTCATCATCAGCAGCAGACCCAGCAGCATCATCATCATCATCAGCATCCTCATCATCCTCATCATCATCATCATCATCATCAGCATCATCCATATCATCAGCTGCAGCAGCAGCATCATCCTGACAAGCATCACCATCATCATCAGCATCATCAGCATCATCATCAGCATCATCATAATCATCATCATCAGCAGCATCATCATCGTCATCGTCATCATCATCAGCAGCAGAATCCGCATCATCATCATCATCATCATCATCGTCAGCACAATCATCAGCAGCAGCAGCAGCATCAGCAGCAGCATCATCAGCAGCAGCAGCATCAGCATCATCATCATCATCATCATCATCATCATCATCAGCACGATCATCATCGTCAGAATCATCACCGACCTCAATAGCCTCATCATCATCAGCGGCAGCATCATCACCATCAGCATCATCATCAACGTAATTATGAGCATCAGCATCATCGTCAGCATCATCGTCAACAGCAGCATCACCATCAACGGCATCATCGGAATCAGCATCATCACCGTCATCATTGACAACATCATCACCATACAAATCATCAACATCATCATCATCAGCATCATCTTCATAACCATGTTCATCAACATCATCATATTCATCAGCAGCATCATCAACTTAAGCATCATCATCATCGCCATCAGCAGCAGCAGCATCGGCATCAGTATCGGCATCGTCATACTCCTCCTCCTCCTCCTCGTCCTCCTCCTCATCATCCGCATCACCATCACCATCACCACCATCATCATCATCATTATCATCATCGCCAAAATCAACATCATTTCAATCGGCATCGCCATCGCCATCTCCATCTCCATCTTCGTCATCATCACCATCATCATCGTCATCGTCATCGCCGTCGTCATCGTCATAATCAGAATTCTCATCATCAACAGCACCAGCATCATCAGCATCGTCAGCATCATCATCATCATCATCATCATCATCATCATCATCATCATCCGAATCATCATCATCATCAGCAGCAGCAGCATCATCACCACACCACAACCATCATTATGATTGTGCTCATTAGTATCATCATCAGCAGCAGCATCACCATCACCACCATCGTACTCACATTCATCAACTTCATCAGTATCGTCATCATCATCATCATCAGCAGCAGCAGCATCATCAGCATCATCATCATCAGCATCCTCATCCTCATCCTAGTCCTCCTCCTCCTCCTCCTCCTCCCCCTCCTATTCCTCCTCCTCCCCCTCATCCCCCTCCTCCTCTTCCTCCTCCTCCTCTTCCTCCTCTTCCTCCTCTTCATCCTCCTCCTCCTCCCCTCCCATCGTCCCACATGTGGGACGTGGGATGAAGAAACCTGATGGGTGCTACGAAAAAGTCTAAGAGAATTGCGGGTACCTCCAACACTGCCGTGTCGTGTTCGCGACCCCGGGGGGGGGGAGAGCCCCCCCCGACAGCCCGGGCGCGGGAGCCGCAAAACGCACGCACCTCGATGCCCCGACAGGTCCTCTC